CTAAGATGCCGCAAGGCCATCCATCGCACCATCCAAGGGGTGATGTGAGGGTCAGATGGGATAAAGTATAAGAAGATGAGATTAAGTTTCTGAAGTTTATGAAGTCTATGAAGATTAGTCTTTGAACTGTTTGTGATTGGGAGAGGTGAGCAGTGTGACAGGCTGGTGACATGCTGCAAAAGCTCATGGCGGTGCTGTGTGAACTGACTGTACAGGGGCACTCTGGAAGCCAGAAGCCATCGGGAGGTTATCACCATCCTCTGGGCATAAGCTGTAACCAAGGAGGGTGAGACTTGGTCTTGCCGGGTCAGTGATGCAGGAGGGATGGGTAAAGAGGAATTTAAGTAGAGGACAAATGGTTGGCTCTCCTGGGGAAAGGCCTGGGTGGTAAATGGACGGGACGTACAGAGCCTGGGGGCTCGGCAGCGTCTCAGGCACTGAGTGTGCCTGCCATCTTGTCCGTCAGTGCAGTTGCCACCACTTGGTGAGTCAAAAAGGTGTCTTTGACTCCTCACTGCCATCCTTGTCCCACCTGTAGCCATCTCTGGGCAGGAAGAAGGCCCCAGCGGGAGCCCGGGGTGTCAGTGGGGGAGGGTCAACATATACCATCCCATCTTTGGCAAGTGTCATTTGACTTGGGCTGCAGTGGCAGCAGGGGAGGCGACACGCACTTGGACGGGTTTGAGGAATGCTTGGGAGGTGGAACCTGCCAGACGTGGTCTTGGGCTGGACGTGGGCACTGAGGGGGAGGGAGTGATCAGGCAGCACGCCTGGATTTCTGAGTCGGGCAGCTGCGTGGATGGGGGTGCCTTTTCCTCAGGGGCTGGGTGCTTTGCAGAGGAGGGGGCCTGGGCGGAAAAGCACTGAGGAGGAGCGAAGCATGCTGCCAGCCCATCTCCTATTCCCGCCGTAGCAGGCAGAGTTTTCCAGAAAACATTCCTTCTCCCAGAGCAGCAGAGGCTGTAGGTGAGGAAAGCGCAGCTGCTCAGGCCGCGTCCCCCTGTCCTGGCTCATGGGGAGTGCGTTCCTTTCCCGTCGGGCTGCAGTAACAGGATGCCATGCACTGGGTGACTTAAACAGCACAAGTGTGTTGTCTCACAATTTTGGAGGCTAGAAATCTGAGATCAAGTTGCCGGCAGGGTTGGTTTCTTCTGAGGCCTCTCTCCTTGGCTCGTCTTCTCCCTGTGTCCTCACGTGGTCCTCACCCTGTGCATGTCTGTGTCCTGATCTCCTCTTCCCATAAGGACACCAGTCATAGTGGATTAGGGCCCACTTTAAGCTAAAATTCAGACCTCATTTTAACCTAATTGCCTCATTAGAGACCTCTCTTCAAATACAGTTACATTCTGAGGTGCTGGGAGTTAAGGTTTCAATATGAATTTGGGGAAAACAATTCAGCCCATAGCAGGTGGATGCTGCTGCTCATGGCAGCTTCCCAGATTGCAGCAGACCGTAAGGCACACCTTCAATGGCCTACAGACTGGCCACAGCTCTGTTAGGGAAGGAGACTTTAGAAGACAGAGGAAAGATGTGGGGGGAGTGTGTGTGTGTGTAGCTGGATTGTGGCTGAGTGGATAAGCTGCTGCACCTTCTCTTCTTGTCGGAGAGCCTGGACTGACAAGGAAAGATTCTGAGGCTGCCCGGCTGAGAACCCACTACTGAGATCAGGGAAAGAGGGACGAGAGACGGGTGCTTGGCGCATATCCCAATGTCTTCTTGTTAGTTTCTGCACTCAGCTGATCCCACATTAGACCAAAGCCGCACGTATCAAGCATCCTCACTGTGCAAGGAAAATGCTGCTGGAAACTGCTCCTCAGTGCACAGCCCTGCCTCAGGGGGCCGTGGTGAAGGCAGCGTCGGTGTGAAATTCCAGGAACAAGGAAGCCCCTGAGAGCTGGGCAGGCCGTGAGGACTGTGCAGCTCTGAAAGGATCTGGAAAAGTCCGGCAGGAGTCTTGCTGGCAGGAAGTTCTTCCCCGTCGCAGATTGATCCCCCTGCCTCCCAGCACCGGCCTCCACTGGAGACATCATTTGGTTTGTAAGTAACTGCTCCTCGAAGGCCGTATTGATTTTGTTGTTCTTGTCACTGCCGCCTGTATTGAGTGGGAAGTCCACTCTGGATCCCCTGCATGAGTAGAAGCTCCGTTAACAGCCCGTTGCATCACCTGACTGTTTCTCTGCTTACTAAGGTCGTCCCGCTATTTAATTTACATTTGCCTGACAGTGGGTGAGTGTGTCATCATCACTTCTTAACTGTGGTCCTTGTTCCTCTAGGAACCAGGGAATAGAGAGGTCTTACTGTCTTTAACTCAGCAACATCCTTTCTTGTCTGTTTGCTACAGAGACAAGAGTTTGCTTGTTTTTATTGAGGAAAAAAACAAGACGAAAAACTTCTTACTATAAAATAGTAAATAGGTGCATAGCAGTGTTGAAATCCGTTCGAGGTGTCTGTTGTTTAGACAGCCTCCGCAGAGGAGAGAACATGTTCTGAAGGTCTCAGGTGGGTGGTGTTGATGTAGTTTGCTGGTGGGATTTTGCTGTCACTGTGTGTTGCTGGCTGGGATGGTGGTCACAGGGGAGAGGAGACACACGGGTCCACTGTTGGTTTCTTGTTCTGTCTTTTCTGTAACCAGGTTATCTTGTCCAGTACTTTATGGTAGCTTCCGTTCTCCTTTACCCCCAAAGGGGAAGAAGAAATGTGTATTATCGTGATATTTTGTGCTTGGCAGGTAAGCACTAATTTTCTGCGGTCTCAGCCTGCGCTTCTGGTTGAGGTATCCTTGAAGTGAAGACAGTGGTTATTTTCACTTCAGAAGATGGATCTCTAATCTGGAAAAAAAACCGACAGTAACGCAGACACCTGTGTTCTTGAAATGAAGTAACCCACCTGGGTTTCTCAATAAACATAAATTGTAGTGCATTAAAAGCCTAAGAAAAGCTACGTGGCCAAGAGCTCATCTCATCCTTCCGAGGGTTTTGCCATTGCTGCTGAAAGATTACGGAATATTCCGTGGAGAGCCACCCAGACACATTCTGATGTTTACTTTTAAGCCAGCACGCCCAAAAGAGTTGCACTGCAGAATGAACAAACTGGGCGTGACGTTTTTATCCTAATAACAACATGTCATTTTGTTTAATCGTGTTGAGCTGTGAACGAAGCTTTGCACAGAACGTGTATAAAATCGAAAACGCAAGTTAGTAGCAAAGGTACAGAAAAGAAGTTTCCTTAGGCGAAACAGAGATCCCTGGGAGAGAGTGCTGAGCACACAGAAGCGGAACACCGCTTTGAGGAAGGCTTACGGCATTGAAGCCGAGCCACAGTGGGTGTCTGATTTCAGGTATTGCTGAGAAGAATACGGAAGAGAATCTGACACTCTTGTTTTTTAGGGCAGAGGCTCCCTTCTCCACAGCGGGCAAAGCCACAATGAGAAAGGCCCGGTCCTGCACTGCTCTGATCAGTCTCTCTTGGGTGCCATCCTCTGGGGAGAAAAATGATGCCAGGTGCTCAGCAAACCTTCATCCCCTGAAGACAATGAGCTGTGTGAAGGCATCTGGGCTCTCGTCTGGGCTTGACTGGGATCCTCTTTTGTCCACGTCTAGTGGTGGTCTGATAAAAACATACGTGCGTGCGTGTGCACACAGTGTAATGTATGTGTAATGAACACACGTGTGGTTAGTTACATGTGTTTAATTTTTCAGGTAATATGTGCACATGGGGAAAGGTCAAATCCTGTATATGGGCAGGTGGTGGTAAGTCAGTCGTCTCCCCACCCCACATGCCAGTTTTCCTCCCAGGGACAACCATCAGTTTCTTGTGTATCTTTCCCAGATACATTTCTAAGCATATTTGCATATTTTTTCCTTAGATTTTATTTTCATAATTTTGTTTATGTTTTTAATGGAGAATCTATTTATATGGACCAACGTTCAAAAGTTACAAAAGAATGTATAAAATGTTCCCTCTTAGCCCAGTTTCTCTCCCTAGAGGCAGCACATAATACCAGTTTTTAAGACATCCTTCCAGAGATAGTGTATGCACATGTGCATGTATATTTCTTCTCTTTTCTACATAAAAGGTAACAAATGATGCACAATATATTGATCTTGCTTTTTCCCTTCGTAGAGACAGTCCACCTCACTTTTTGTGGCTGCATAGTGTTTCAGTGTATGGATAGATGATCATTTATTTACCCAGTCTCCTCTGTGTGTTCATTAGGTTGTCTGTGATGATATGCTACAGGACCAGGGGTAGGGTGAAGTGAGGGAGGCATCTAGGGGGCAGAATTTAAGGAGGCACTTGCTCTCAGGGTTGTACAAATGCAGAGCCAGCACTTGCACAAACCTGAGAGTGAGTGCCATCTTAAATTTTGCACTCATCCTACTCCCAACCCTGCCCTACTATGCTCTTACAAACAGACAGCAACAAAAAATTCTTGTTTCTACATTAGGCTTTTGCACGTATTGTTGGAAAAATTCCAACAATTGGGGTCAAAGTGTATGTGGGTTTTCAAATGTGAATAAAGGAAATCATTTACACTCCAGCCAACACTACAAGAGGGGACCCATTTCCCCATGCTGTCACCAACAAACTGTATTATCAACACTTCTTGATTGTTGCCAGTTGGATGGGAAACACATCAAGAAAAACATGGTCAAGCTGACTAATTGTTTAAAAGAGATTGAACCTGAAATCATAGTCTTGCATCTCAACGTAGAAACTCGTAATAGTACATAATAGACACTCCCCAAATCTAAGCTCTTTTCATTACTCTGGTACATACTCTCTTCCGGCCCCACTTCCCAAAAGGTGCCGGGTTCTCTTTCTGACCTCTCTGCCTTCCCCTGCCATTCCCTTTGCCTAGGAAAGCTCCTTTCTGTCTTCAGCAGGCCCTAGTTCTTCCTAAGCCTTTTGATGCTCAGTTGGAGGGTTGCTTCTTCTGGGAAAGCTCTCTCACCTCCTAGTAATAGTGGGTTGGTTATTCCCACCTTGTGCTTCCGCAGGGCTAGTGCTGCCATCACATAACTTCATAACTCGTGCAATGCCATGTGGTCATCGCCTGTTTCCATGTCTGGGCCCCCTCTGGACTTTGAGCTCCATGAGAACAAAGATAACATCTTACTTATGCTGGTGTGGCCATGATCTGGCACACAGTAGGACAGCAGGTATGTGTTGATTAAATGCCTAGCTGAAGACAAATAATTTCTGTTCTTTTAACCCTGTGGTGACTGGGGCTTTTTAGATTTCGCCTCTGGCTTTGAAAGAGCAGTGACTGTATTTAGAGTTTAACTGTGAAATTCCCATTAACTTTTTATTAGGTTGTATATTTAAAATCTCAAATGGAACCAGAGATTTAGGGGCATAGCCGCTGGTGCCCAAGTTCAGATTTAAAATGGAATCTTAAAGTAAAAAGAGGCAATCATTCTAAATAAGACCTTTTCATGCATCTGACACCCTAGAAGCTCTAGACAGAAATGCATCGTGCTCATTCGTTCCTCTTAGGGGACTTGCCAGTATCAGAGGTGAATCTGCTTATAATTTCCCGGAACTTCTTTGTCCATGAACATTGCATTGTCTCTTGTCAGCATTAGCCTTGGGCAATGTCTTGCATGTACCCAGTGCCCAGTAGCATTTTGTTATTGAATATTCTATCATTATGTATGTGCACGCCTTATAGTAGTACCAAAGATGGCTCTAAAGAAGATAAATATCAGAGAGATGATCACTTTGGGGGGAAAATAATTTATGGAGGACTTTGGCCAACAGTAACAATTCAGACAATGACAAAGCATGTGCATATTTTTCTCTTCTCTGTTTTCTTATTCAAACAGGATAAAGTTTGCAAGTATTTAGATGGTCTCCTTCCTTTCCATTCCTATTATCACAGCCCTGTTCCAGTCCTTATTACCTCTTGGCTAAAAACTGTAAAATCGCCTCTCTGCCAGCGCCTGTCCCCTCATTCACCTCCCTCTAAGCCATCTCATCTTCCTTCGGCAGATGAATCCTCCTGAGGACGCAGTCCTCCTAACATGACATACTTCTCGGAACACGTGCGGGCTCCCACATCTCACTGCCTCCCTTGCCTGTGCAGTGCTGGCACACAGGTGGTCAGGACATTATTTTCAGAAGTACACGTCACCTTCAGTCTCGGGACATGGGCCACCCCTGCTGGGTTACAGTCCAGTCGCAGAACAGCCAGCATGATTGTGAGTGTGTCTGCAGTGACAGAATCCCAAATAAGCTTTCCTAAAAAGCTATTAACTTCTTGAGTGGTAAACTGTGGTCTTAGTTCTCCTTGACTCCCACTTACCACAAGCTGTTCCTAAAATTTGTAGGGAAGTTCAGAGGACCCAGAACAGCCAGAACAACCTTGAAAAAGAAGAACAAAATTGGAGGACTCACACTTCCTGATTTTAAACTTACTAGAAAGCCACAGTAATCAAAACGGTATGGTACTGGCATAAGGATAGACATATAGATCAATGGAATAGAATTGAGAGTCCAGAATAAACCCTCACATTTATGGTCAGTTGATTTCTAACAAGGTTGCCAAGACAATTCAATGGGGAAAGGATATTCTTTACAACAAATGGTGCAGGAACCACTGGATATCCACTTGCAAAAGACTGGATTTGGCCCCCTACCTCACACCATATACAAAACTTATCTCAAAATGTATCAAAGACCAAATAAAAGCTAAAAGTATAAAACTCTTAGAAGAAAGCATAGGCACACATCTTGATGACCTTGGATTAGACACTGGTTTCTTAGATCTAATACTGAAAGCACAAGTGACAAAAGAGAAAGTAGATGAGTTAGACTTTATCAAACTTGAAAACTTCTGTGCTTCAAAGGACGTTACAAAGAAAGTGAGAAGACCACTCAGGGAACGGGAGAGAATATTTGCAAATCATATGTCTGATAAAGGACTAGTATCCATAATATATAAAGAGCTCTTACAACTCAGGAATGAAAAGCAAATAACCTAATTTGAAAGTGGGCAAAACATTTCTCTAAAGTAGGCAAATGGCCAATAAGCTCTTAAAGAGATGCTTAACATCCTTAGTCATTACATACATGCAAATGAAAACCACAGCGAGATACCACTGTGTGTCCACTAGGATGGCTATAATCAAAAAGGATGGAAAATGACAGGTATTGTCCTAGGATGTGGAAAACGTTGGTGACCCCTCATAGTTAGCTGGGTAGGAATGTAACATGGTGCCTTGGGAGACAGTCTGGCAGTTCCTTAAACAATTAAACATACAGTTACCATGTGACCCAGCAATTTCACTGCTAGGTACATACCCAGGAGAAATGAAAACATGCGTCCGTACAAAACCTTGTATGTGGCTGTTTATAGCAGCGTTATTCATAATAGCCAAAAAGTAGACACGACCCGAATGCCCATCACCCAATGAATGGATAAAGAAAATGTGCTATATCTGTACAATAGAATACCATTCAGGAACAAAGGAGTGGAGTACTGATAGAGGCTGCCATATGGATGAACCTTGAAGTTACTCACAAAAGACCACATATTTATGATTCTAGTTATAGGAAATGATAAAAGAATTTTTTAAAAACGCCTTTCTGGTTCTATCTTTTCTTTTCTCCATTTTCTTTCTTTCTGAGAGTGGAGAACTTAACTTATGCATTGGCCTTGTCATTTGTTTTATATCTGTTCCTATTAAAATTATATGTATCCTTATTTACCTAACAAGATCTAATTTTAGTGCATTTTTGATTTCTTAAATGTCTTGTTTTCCTGATTATAAAAGTAATTCATACTCATTATAAAAATTCAAACTTGGCAGGAAATTGAAATGTTTTCTGTCATTCCATTCCTCCACAGATAATTACTATTACTAGTTTGTCCATAGTTTTCTGGAAATTTTATCTCTGAATATACTAACTTGCTGGTCTGTTTTCAACAGAACTATACATACTAGCTCTTATAACTTCTTGTTTTCACTTAGCTTGCCCCAGAAAACCCAGCTCCCCAAGCCTTAGCAGTAAATATTTACTTGCCTGTTTATTGTATATTTATAATACATATTTATACATAAATGTATATTTATATTATACATTCTTACCTGTTTTTTATTCCATAGTAAAGACACACCATCATTTCTCTAATGATGAACTTTTAAGCCATTTCAGATGGTCATATCTTCTCAATTAATGCTACAGTGAACAGCTATGTTTTACACATTTGTGTGTATTTCTTTAGGATAAATTCCTATAAATAGAATTGCCAGGCCACTCGATATAATGAGTTTATTAAATTTTAAATTGACCTTTCCTAATTGCCCCCTGAAAGGAGTTGTAATTTATGATCTTAACTGTTTAGGAGATGCCCTGACTTGACTGTTCTGTTTCCAACCTTCCAGTGAAAACACACACCACTGACTGTGTTTCCAGAGACCTCTTAGGGCTGGCATCGGAAATTCTTGTCTTTGGTGTGTTTTACCCTTAGTACTGGTGGCTTAGTGACGTTTCATCAGTTTGTCCATCTTTCTGCAGTGGATTGTGGCCTCCAAATATCACAAGCAAATTGCCAGGTAGAGGTGAGCTGGATATTCTCCCTACCCATGTGCTGGGGTGTCAGCACGCACGTCTGTGCTGTTTTTCCAGTACAGCCCAGGGCAGCAGCAGCACTGAGAGCCGAGCTCCCTGAGAATGAGGAGAATACAGGGAGATCTGAGATGGCCTACGGTCTAGCTGCTCCCTTCCTCTGCCTTTTCCCTGGGCGGAGTGGGGTGGGAGAGGGTTAGGGTGAAGGGAAAAGAAGCTGAGCACATGTTGCCCACTGGGCACCTAAATGCATGATCTCATTGATCTTACAGCATCTCCATCAAGGAGGTGAGACAGTTTCCATTTTAAGGGCTAGAGAACTGAGCCTCAGAGGGTAGTGTGCCCAAAGGACACCCCTCAAAAGGGCAATCTCACGTCCTCTGAATCAGAGCCCACCTGTGCTTCCACTTGAAGTGCCAACCCCAACACATAAGTAGAATCATATAGTATTTGTCTTTTTGTGACTGGCAAATTGTCCTTAGCATTTTGTCCTCAAGATTCCACATGTTGTAGCATATGTTAGAATTTCCTTCCTTTTTAAAGTGGAGTAATATCCCATTGTGTGTATATACCACATTTTGCTTATCCATTCATCCATTGATGGACACTTCGGTTGCCTCCACATTTTAGCTATTGTGAATAATGCTGCTGTGAACATGGGTATACAGATATGTCTTCAAGACCCCACTTTCAGTTCTTTTGAGTATATACCCAAAGTGAAATTGCTGGATCATATGGTGATTCTATTTTTAATTTTTTGAGAAACCATTATACTGTTTTCCGCAGTAGGTGTACCATTTTATATGTCCACAAACAGTGCACGAGTTTTCCAGTTACTCCACAGCCTTCTCAACACCTATTAGTTTCTGCTTCTTTTTTTTTAAATTGTAGCCATTCTAATGAGTATGAGGTGGTATCTCATTGTGGTTTTAATTTGCATTTCCCTGCTGACTAGTGATGTTGAGAGTCTCTTCATGGGGTTTTTTGGCCATTTGTATATCCTCTTTGGAGAAACGTCATTTCAAGTCCTCTGACCACTTTTGTATCGGGCTTTTTGTTGGTGTTGAATCTTAGGAGCTCTCTCCATATTCTAGGTATTAATGCCATATCTGATAGATGACCTGCAAATATTTTCTTCTGTCCTGTGGATTGCCTTTTTACTCTGTTCGTAATGTCTTTTGATGGACAAAAGTTTTTAATTTGTCTATTTTTTCTTTTGTTGACTGTACCAATACATCAAATTTTATATTGAAAAAGAGCTTTTGATTTTTACCTCTAATCTATTTCTTCCCCATTCTTTTCCATGTCAATGAATGACATTACTAACCTCCCATTTGCTCAGATGTCTGGGAATTATATTTGAGTGCTTTTCCTTCTTGTAACCAATACAACAAGGATTCCTATTGTTCTGCCTCCTAAATATCTCTCAAGTCCTTCTATTTGCATCTCCAGTTCTTCACTGGTAGTATATAGAAATACAATTGATTTTTATATATTGACCTTGCATCCAGCAATTAAACCAGTCCCCTCATTAGATCTAGAAGCCTTTTTCCTTTATAGATTCTTTAGGGCTTTCTGTGGACAAAGTCATGTCTTCTGAGAATAGGCAGTTTTATTTCTTCTTTTCCAATCTATATGCTTTTTATTTCTTTTTTCTTGCTTTATTGCACTGGCCAGGACTTCCAGTGTGACGTTGAAGAGAAGTAGTAGAGAAAACATCCTTGCCTGTTCCCAGTCCTAGAGGGAAAGCATGCAGTCTTTCACCATTAAGTATGATGTTAGCTGTAGGCCTTTTGTAGATGGCCTTTGTCAGGTCAAAGATGTTTATTTCTCTTCCAAGTTTGCTAGGAGATTTTATTAATGTATTTTAAGGCTATTCTGAAAACAACAAGATAATAATCTCTGCCTTAATGAATATTGACAGTAATAAGTTACACATTTCATGGTATCACATCATGTTAAAAATTCAAAGTCCATGAATGATAGAAGTAAGTACTTTGTAATTATCCTTATAAAGTGTTTTACTTCCTGGTTTTATTTTAACTTATTGCAATTTAAAATTTTTTTTAAAAATTCTTTAAACACATCACAGCTTCCTATACTCCTGTGCGTCCCGTCCAGAGCTCTCCTCAGTAGGCGGCCTGCGTGTGCTGACATCGGGGTCCCTGTTCTCTTGGTACCCATCCTCAGCAGATGCCCCTCATCTGCCTTGAAGACCCACCCAGATCAATCCTTCTCTTTCCCTCCTTTGAGTCTTGTCTTGTAATTTTTCTTCCTTAGCCAAGGTCTGTTCCCTCCCTTCCTGCCTCCCTTCCTGTGAAGCACAAAGCCCGGCTTGATACATAAGAAGCTCTTGGAAGCTCCACCCTTGGCTAGGTTTCCATTGTTTCTATTCCTGATGCTAGTGAGGTTTGGCTTTGGGCTTTGAGTATTTGACAAAGTATTTGCTTCAGTATTATGACTTTTAGGAAGCTGTGCTAAGATGTGCTATGAGCTATGTTAACGCTAAGGTGTTATTGACATTCTGACCCTAAAGAAATTTTGATATACACAAATGAGAGCTTGTTGAACATAATGCGCATGTTTTTATTAAACTTGGCTTTTTGCAGAATTTACTCCTTCTCTTCTAAATTCTCACCTAAAAATTATTTATATCCCTGGGGAATGTTCTCATTCCTTGGGAAATGATTTATTGATTGCAATATGCATACTGTGGGTCACTGATAGAAAAGGAAGAATTGGTTACATTCGAGCATAGGGGTAGAGGGAAGACAGCTAACCTTTTTGCAGACTTACTTGTACCAAACTCTGGGAATCATTATCTTGGTATAAGTACTCACAGCCGCCCTCTGAGGTCTGGGGATTATCATCCACATTTCACACATGATGAGAGCAAGGCTCAGAGGAACCAAATGACTCGCCCCAGGCCACACGGCTTATAAGGGACAAGAGCCAAGGACCAAGCCCCGGGTGTCATGGACCCCACATCCACACCATGCCTCCACATGAGGAGAAAAGAAAGTTCTGGAAAAGCTGCATGAGAAAGGCTCATCTTTGATTGAGGGGATCCAGGGAAGATGGGCTTCGTGTTTTTTAACAGGTTATTAGAAGATATTGGTGATTTCCCCACAAGTAGCATCCCTCTGAAGCTTGGAAACAAACATGTCATTGCTCTGTGTAGTTCACAGCTCTTCACTGTAGATCGCTTTGTAGACAAAGTCTCCTTTGCAAGTTTTGACTGAACCTTTTTTGGAGGGGCTCATTTTTAACTTGTCTGTGTGTGGTCATCAGCTGCTCGAACATCCCCTAGGTCTGCCTCAGTATGTGAGGCTCGTGATGAAATGCCCTTTGAAAATACACTGCACCCCAGTGTGTTATAAAGTCCTCGTCCTGTGGATCAGCGTGGTTGAGAGGAGTCACCCCAGAAGCTAGGACCCTAGTTTTTGACCACGACATTGTAAGGAGAGGCAGCACTCTGGTTGGAACACCAAGTTCAAATCCCCGACTGGTTGTCAAACTGAGTTAAGACATGGCAGCGCTCAGAACGCTGCCTGGCCCCTAGTAAGTGCTGGGTGAAACTGGCCGTTACTGAGTATCAGAAAATCCCTAAGTCAGCATGAATGGGAAGAAGGGAATCCTGGGGGTGGCTTTGGGGTCTTTTAGAAAACTGGATAAGGGAAGTAGTGATGAATTAGCCTGGTTCACAGAGTGCCTTTGAGAAGGTTTATTGTGTTCAGGGCCATAAAGGATTCGTCCTAAACGCGCAGTCTATTTACAGGGAAAAGAATCGGCCAGCGGGGTCTTGGAGGGGATTATGTAAGTCAACACAGATGCCCACAGTCCGGGATCAGCTAAAGAAACAAGAGCCCCAGAGCCAGCCCAGCCCAGCGAGGGGCAGATGCTGCCTGTCGGCACACTCCTCGCACCGCAAGGCAGAGGCTCCTGTCCCTAGTGCCAGGCGGGCCCTGCTTCTCTCCCCACCTGAGCTCCTGTTGGGGTGCCAGCCTTTCCCAAGCAAATTCCTTGCATCCCAGAGATTGGGATCAGCTGGAAATGCAGCTGCCTGACTGCCTTCCCCTGACTCTTCTTTAAACTGTAGGATGCTGGGGCTAAAGGCACTTTTTTTAAAACTTTTTTTTTTTTGAAATGAAGGTAACAGATAAGCTTGGGAAAAGGGAGGAAGAAAGGAAGGAAGGAACTTTTAAAAAGTAGTTTTAAAGGGTTTTGAACCAAATATGGAAGTTTCCTTCACTTCCTACTCCTGCTTCCCAGATTTAACCAGAGTTAATGTTTTCTTTATATCTTTAGAGAAGTTTATCCATAACTATATGAATCTGTATAAGCCCTTTTTTAATTCATATGTGATTTTTTTACTCCTCCACCTCTTACCTTCTTAATATATATTAAAGATCTTTCCATAGCATCATTATAGAGTTCTCTCTTTCTATTTTTATTTTACTAGGATTAAATATAAAATATTTCAGTGAGATATGGAAATTCTGAACTCTTATGCATCTGACAATGTAGTTGAAGTGAACATGAAACTTGGCAGAATTACAAGGAGAAATGGATTGATCCACAGTTACAATGGCAACTTAACCAAGTCTTTCAGAAACTGATAGAGATCAGTAGGCCAAAAGCAAAGAATAATGACGTAGGAGATTGAATCATACCGTTAACAGGCTTGATTGAGTGGAAATATGAGGAACTCCATATTCAACAATCAGAGAACACGCATTCTTTACAAGCTCACATGGGATATTTAGAAAAACTGGCGTATACTTGGTTATAAAGGAAATCTCGCTCCTGCTAATTTGTAGTCGCAATTTCTGAAATGGTTTTGTCTTTTCCTTCTATTTCTTTCCTTAGTTCTAACAGTTCCTATTTCACATCTGCCTATTTTTAATGACCATCTAGACTGAATTCCTTTATTTCTGCTTCGTGGTCTTCTTTCTTAGCCGTAATTGCCTTGTAAAGACTTCTTTGCTTTCTTTTTAATTCATGATGGAAATGGAATGTCGGGTAGAATTGTCATCTGCTTATGGAAAGCTTTTTCAGGTGAGTTTTCCTTTTCCCGGGGGAAGTTGGCTGCTCTTTTTCTTAGGCTGTCTTTGCATGAAGCTGAGCATATTCCTCAGGACGGACATGGTGCAGGAATTATGTCCCTTCCCTGCTTTGCTTTTCTCAGTAACGCTTAAGAACATCTGATACAGATGGGTGTGCATCTATAATTTCCTTGGCAAATTATCTGACTCCCAAGTTTGGAGGGAAGGATCCGTGTCTCTGGCTCATAGTTCGCTCCAGTAACTAAATCAGTGCCTTACACATAGTTACTGCTTCAGTAAACATTTGATGAATAAATTAGCATAGAGGGGCTCAAAAAAACAGATCTGGAATTGAATTGGTCATTTCAAAATCTATTATTAATTACTGTTGTTAAAGATTGGCACCTGAGCTAACATCTGTTGCCAATCTTTTTTTCCCCCTTCCTCTTCTCCCCAAAGTCCCCCAGTACATGGTTGTATATTCTAGTTGTGAGTGTCTCTGGTTGTGCTATGTGGGACGCCGCCTCAGCATGGCCTGATGAGCGGTGCCATGTCCGCGGCCAGGATCCAAACCGGCAAAACCCTGGGCCAGAGCAGAGCGCGTGAACCCAACCACTGGGCCATGGGGCCAGCCCCCAATTTATGTTTTAGTACATTATTACAGAGAGTATGGAAGCCAGTGAATCTGAAGGAAGAGAGTCCCCACATACTTTACAGCTCTTTGTCCAAATAATCATCTTCCTAGTAAATCCCTTGTGCCAGGGGGAACGCACTTAATGTTAAGACATTGGTGCCTGGTTCTCTTACACACTAGTGGAATATAAAATGCCTCTTCCCCCATATGGTGGGGATTTGGCAAGATGCACGTGCCAATTGATTTGGCCATGTGGGTTCTAAAAATTTTTCCTGTAAGGGTATTCGCGCAGTCTGCATGGCCATGTGTATGGTAAGAAAACCTTCAGTAGCCATCAGTTTGGGGCTAGTGTACAAAGCTAGGTCCACACACCACAGGGATGCTCATGATGACCCACTGAGATAGGGCAGAAAAGTTACAACTGTTTATATTTATTTTTCATCTAAATAAAAGATAGAATTAAGCTTCACTAATATTTAGTATTAGAATGACTCTACACCATTACTCAGTCAGCAGTGTTGGGTCACATGTCCACTTAGACATTAATTTCCAAGGCATCCTGAGGGAAAGACAGTTCAACTCAGAGGTTCCCACCTCACTTGTTGATTTGCTTTTAACATATGACTACTTTTTGCAGTTCTCCATTGGCCTGGGTGAGTGGATTTCTAGATTATTCTTTTCTTATTGTGTGTTGGTAAATGCATAAACAGTCTTGGCCATTTGAGGACATGACCCTTGCTTTTCTAGGGATGCCCTGGCGGAAGGAGCAGACGGAGGACCTGCAGCGGGTGCTCAGGGATGTGGACAGTGAGATCCCACTGGTCTTCGTCAGTGGCAACCACGATGTGGGCAACGTGCCCACCCCAGAGACCATCGAGGAGTTCCAGCAGACTTGGGGAGATGACTATTTCAGCTTCTGGGTCGGGGGCGTCCTGTTCCTTGTCCTCAACTCCCAGTTCTTGTACGATGCCTCCAGGTGCCCTGCCTTGAAGCAGGCCCAGGACCAGTGGCTGGACCAGCAGCTGAGCATCGCAGGGCAGCGGAAGTGCCAGCACGCCATCGTCTTCCAGCACATCCCACTGTTCCTTGAAAGCATCGATGAGGATGACGACTACTTCAACCTCAGCAAGCCTGTTCGGAAGGAGATGGTAGACAAGCTCTCCAAAGCAGGTAGTGGCCCGTGACCCCGGGTGTCTGGGTGGAAGGGTGGTCTGGAGAGGAGGTTTCTAGATCCTTCTGTCCTGTTTCAGCCTGGCAAAGGGGAGAGACAATGGGGCTTTTGGACAGCCTGGGGTTCTGATCCCAGCTCTGCCACTCACTGGCTGTGTGGCCTTGACCAAGCTGCCTAGCACTTCAAAGCCTCAGATTCCTCATCTGTAGAGAAGGATTAGCTGAAGTAGCTCTTGTATAGGATGGTTGTGAGGATTAAATGAGACGACACCTGTAAGTCATTAAAACAGCCCCTAGGCTACCACACACCTCGTTTCTCCTCCTGGTAGCACCTGCAGTATTCCTTTCTTGAAAAAACGGTATGTTCTCAGCCAATTCCCTGAGTTACCAGTGCCTTGACAGGATTCCAATTTTGACAACTGTTGTGTCTCTTTTTTTGGTCCTAATGCCTCCCTCCAGATCTTTCCAGAGTGTACTTCATCACACTCTTCTAAAATTTAAATATATTCATTTATTTGTTAGGGGATAGGGAGAAGGGGGTGGCCTGATCCAGTAGCAAGCATTCATTTAAAAAAAAAATCCCAACACTCTTCTTTTCATTTTTGAGCATTAAATGTGTTCACATTTACTTGTGAAAAGTACAATAGGCCCTTCTGTGTTTTTGAGACATTTTACAAAAAGCTTGCATAATTGGAGACATTTTCCAACTGCTCCATGGAGATGTGGTTGGAAAACTTCTATTAAGGCCTTTGAAATTTTCTGCCATGCTTGAGTTGGTGCAGAAAACCGTTTTGATGACAAGGAAGTGAAGTGTCAAGATGGCATCAGCACCACCATGGAGACTGTTTTCTAACAGAGAATAATGCCAGAGAGAACATTTAATGCCACCGAAATGATTCTTTTCATATCAAATGTTAAATGATGCAAATGCCATCCCCATGGCTGCTCTTTGTTCCCTGTTCTTGTCAACCCCATTCTTGAGTGGCACGTGGTTCTGCATCTCCCATCATAGGATGGAGCACACGCAGCCCACAAGCACTCCCAGATATTAGACCTATGGATATTTATAAAAAGAGATGCCCTCAGCTCTAACAGGGCATCCTCGGGAGGAGCTTACTGCCCACCCACCAGGAACCCCAGAAGGTGACATTGTATCTGGGATGCACCAGCCACCTCCTGCATCAGGCCTGCAGCCCTGCAAGCTCAGGAAGGATTTGTTGGCACACCCAGAGCTGCTCCGTGTCTTGGAGGTGGGCTCCCCTTGCTCCGGCTCACAGAAAGTGGAATCTACCACCAGAATGCCAATTGGCCGATTTAGGGCAAGACTGAAGTCCTCCCCTCAGCCCCAGCAGCGCAGTCTCTCCCGTCGGCAGAGCACCGTGGGAAGCCAGATTATGATCGGGAGGTTGCTTGCTAAGCAGGAGACAGAAGAGGGGAGGCAGTTTGCTTATTCCACTCCTCATGGCATCAGGCGGTGGAACCCTGATGGATCTGTCTCCAGTAGGGCCTCCTTGCCCATGAAGCCTCGGATATTTCACGTGCCTCTAATTCTACCTCCTTAGTGTCTCTCCAGCCCACCCACCTCTTTAGGCTACCCTTGACTCTCATCAGGGTCGTAGCAACAGCTCTGAGTTGCTCCTGCTGCCCCACTCTTGCTCCATTTTAGTCCATTCTCCACCTAGCAGCCAGAGAGGCATGTGACTCCAGAGCCTCCAACCCTTCTGAGGCCCCCTTCACCCCCAGAATCAGGCCAGCTCCTTGCCCTTCCCCATCTTCTGTGCCTTTTCCATGTCACCTGGCCAACACCTACTCACCTTTGACACCTTGTGTCTGAGGTGCCCCCCGCAGCTCTGCCTCCCCCCGGGTTCTTCCTCAGCTTTCCGTGATCCCAGCGGATTTGTGAGTGTTGACTTGTCTGAGTTCCCCACTAGACTCCCAGCTCCTTGAGCACAGGGACGCTGTTCTAGTCATCTCTGCATTTGGGAGGCCTGGCTCAGGTCTTAGCTCATAGTAAACGCCGCATCGGCATTTGTGGGATGAATGCAGGACTCAAACTCTAACTCAGGCTCCTTCCCTCAGCAGCCGCCTGCCACAGCTCACTTCTTTGTTTAGCACCCGCTGTTTGCCAGGCACAGAGTAGACCAGGTCAGGCTCCCCAGGGAACTCCCGGGCACAGCCTTTCCCTGGTGTGTTCTGAGTGTCAGCACAAGCACACAGCCTCGAAGTCCTTCGGTCTTGGGTAAAGCCACTTGTGTGTCTCCCTGCTCTGATCCACGTGCTGGTTTTTCAGGTTCATGCAGTGGTTGATTTCTCTCTTCCCAAGTGGCCCCCCACTATTCCCACGAGGCACCAAGTTCACGGATAAAAAGGCGTCCTCTTCTTGGCCACTGGCCTTAGGATCTTGACCTAAACCTGTTTAACCAGGGAAAACCAGAGAGATGCATGCCCTTCCTGCAGTCACCTGTCAGTTTCAGTGTCTTGGCTAACCGGGCCCTCTGCTTAACGGCCTTTCAAACACACAACAGACTGCGGGCAACGTCAGGAAGAGCCCGGATCTGGGGTGGACACAGCTCAGGGCCCGGCTGAGTGAGCTGCTTGGTTTGGAAGCCCGGGTAGGTGGGCTCTCGTGGAGAGTGCGTGCGCCCGTGACTCAGTCGTGCAGAAGATTGCTTCCGGTCGTGCCAGTGTAATTTGAACTCCTTTTAGAAAGCCAGAAGTTCAAGTGACATTTTGTAAAATTCGTTAACTTAAAGACCGTGATAGAATTGGGGGTGACGGTGGCAGATGGTATTTAACACTGCCTCCAGCTTTCCCCCGTGGCAATGTTACTCCCTAATACTATTTCAGTCTCATTTATCTCCTTGTGCTAAAATGCCAGTGCTCAAAAATATGTCAAAAGCTCATCAGAATATCAGGGTAGCTTTTAATTATGATAATTGTGTTGTTATAAAATATCCTTTTAAAGAGCACATCCCTCCTTGAACCACCATGGAGGTAAAACCCAGCTTCCTTCCAGCAAGCTTAATGAATAATTCTGAATCATTGTGTGGGATGAATAAATGATTTGATAAAGAACATCAACAATCATCTCACATTGGTGCATTAATTTTTTAAATGGGATGAAGTAAGTGAGGAGGTGGGGTGTTACTATACAATGGGCCACGGTGTCTGCAGGGCTGAGTTCTGGGAATCAAAGCCTGCAGGTTTCCCTAGAAACGGATACATTCTGTTTCTACTTTTGAAGCTCAATAAAAAGCCTTCTTTGTATGACCCAGAAATGTTGTCAATAGCCAGTACAAATACACAGTTACCGGGGCAGGACAGAGGCACAGATGTGAAGTGGCCCCGTCATTCTCTGTCTTCTTTTGCTCTGCCGGAGGATAATCAATTTCATCACATCCAAGGGATGTAGAAATTGGTTTTCCCTTAATTCACCTGATCGCTAGTTGGAGTTGCAAAGACAGATAATAGATAATGAAATCTTGGTTGAACCTGACCATCGTCTCCATCCCTCATGTCTTTTTCGGCAAAAAGTTAATATGTGACCTAGTTAATGTGGATTCTAATTTAAAAAACTCAATCTTAAAAAACGAAAGTCTAGCTCTTTAACTGACCCTGTTTCTCTTGATGTCTCCATACCTTTTCTTTTTCCCATTCTCAACAGAGAGATTAGAACTGCGTATTAGAGAGGCCAGGAGCAGGTGTGGCAAATATGAAAAAATTCCCAGTAAGTGGATCTTTTCCTGCAAGAGCTAATAAGTAATTTCACAGAATTATAGTTTCATCTCCAGTATTTATGCTTTTTTAATAAAACTGGAGAGAGAGATCTTAGTCCATGCTTTTATGGCTTTTGAATTTCAAAATGTAAAGAACAAAAAGGTTAGGTTTCCACTTTATAGGGAAATAAAACATCAGTTCCCACTCTAATATCTTACTTGCGTTGTATTGAAATTATTTGTTTACGTCCTGATTCCTTTAGGAAATGGGGTCCCACCTTTGTTCACCTCTGTAGGCCCAGCCGCTAGCCAAGACTGGCACAGAGTAGCCCCTAAGTAAATATTGGTTAAATGGAATTGAATTAAACTTGGTTCAAATCTCTTTATCAGTAGAATCATAGGTAATGTCTGTATTACCTATGGATTGGTGTTTACCAACTGACTTTGGGATGGGAAATGTATACATTTTGGGCTATAGTCTGTAGTGATGACTCAGTTCTGCCTTTGTAGCATGAAAGCAGCCACAGATGATACATAAGCGCATTGCACAGCTGTGTTCCAATAAAACTTTATTTACAAAAATATGGGTGGGCATGCAGGTCATGGTTTGCCCACCCTTGGCTTAGAGACGTATTCCCGTTACGGTGTGACACTCTTGCTCTCTACGCAGTGTACATACATCTAATTCCAGGATGCTTCTGGTGACCCCACTCTGACGCCTGCCTGACTCACTCGAGGGTCTCCCCAGATCGAGCCTCAGAAGCCTCATGGAGGGCGTGCCTGGCGAGGCGCATTCCACTGGAGGCCATTGATGTGATGGGGCAGGGTACATGGTGGCACTTAAAATCTAATCCCTGAGTGTTTACTTTAACGTGTGTTAGAAAGAATATAACTAGCTCATCACTTTAAAGAAAAATATTAGGCGAGTAATAGTGCGGCTAGTATGCAAGTGATGCAGAACTTGTGAGGTCGCTCAGGGGTGAAGCGTTCACACCAGTGGGATGGGTGAGGCCATATGACATCACGGGTGAGCAGACAGCCTTTTGGCTTTGGACACACCAGGTTCAAATCATTTGGTCCTCCTTCCCTAGTCAATGGCTTCATGTAAGCTGCGAACAGCTTTCTGCCTTCATGTCCTCACGTGTTGGATGTATTCATCCCAGCCTAATTGGGTTGGTGTGAGAATCAAATAAAGAGAGGCACGTATAAAAGCATGCCTGGCTCGTCATGTGTGCTTGATCAAGGGTTGTATGATGTCAGATGACCCTGGACCGTGTTGTGAGC